GCTCAGATATGGCGTTGCTGGTTTTCAAATCATATTGCTTGTGTGTACACAGTTAATTATAAAAATGAATTCATCAATATAATATAAAATTATATTTTACCGTATATACGATGCTGTTGGTCGTCAAAACATTGTTTGTGTGTGCATGCGTTCGGTATGATCCTAGTCAGGACCCCCACAAATGGGGGGGGGGGKGGTCAGATGGACTCATGGTACTGCGGCCCGGACTTTCGAGAGGCACAACGTCAGGCAAATAATTACCTACTTCAATACATATTAGAAAAATGTTTTTAAATTAATTGTTATTTAAGAAGGATCAGGATCGAAAATATGATGGGGCTGCTCTTAGTATCTGAGAAAAACAAAATTAAATGTTCGCACATGACAAATGTACTATACATTTTTTATTAGATATTAGTAAAAAGTGATTATGAATGAATTAATATTTAAAACAACCCCCCCCCCATTGAAAATGTCTGGGAACGTTACTGCGTTAGTTATTACTTATTAGACATAAGCATAATTTATACTATTATACTAATACCTACTTATATAATATAGATTATTATGTATATATTATATGTTAAAACTTATATTTAAATATGCGTTTTTTTTATTTTTGCACCGCCCGCCCGAGACAATCTGTCAAGAAAATATAAGTACCAACATTTTCTTAGTTGGCATATTAACCAGACATTCTTCACAATGACCTATATTGTAGTACTTCAGTCCTTGTCTTTAACCTATTTTTAAACTTCAATACTTATTTCTTTGCTTATGGGTTATAGGTAGATATATTTATAATTTTTCTGTTAAGTACTACTAGTATTATTTTATATTTTATCAAGGCATCTAAATTTATACCAGACACATAGAAACAATAGATACGTCATACGTATATAACCCACATACTGCTATAATATTATATAGGTAGGTACCAGTTATACTGGAATATATTATTATACATTATAGACATTATAGTATTGTAGTAAGTTAGGTAAGTATAACTTACTAATAATTTGCCGGCTGGTAACAATATAATATTATTATTGTGGACTCCCAGGGCCGTATTTAGGAATTTGACACCAAAGGGCCACAAAAAAATACGCATCATTAATCATTATACAAAATACAAATTTAAATTATAAAAAAATTAGCCCCCCCTCTCCTACTCAGCCGCCCGGGGCAACAGTAACCTGTAGCTCCCCCCTAAATACGGCTCTGTGGACTCCAAAATCTGGGAGAATACTACTTGCGTCCGAAATTATTATCAGTAGGTGAGTTGCGTCCCGCAAAAAAAAGATTCAAAAAGGTCATAGCGTATTTACGTCCCGGTATACCTTTTTCTATGACCTATAATTGCGTCCCGAAAATATCGATATAGTCGATATAAAAATGTACATTGATGATACAAATTTAATACAAATAAAAATGGTTATAAATTATAATAAATTATCAGTTCAATTAAATTGCAATAATAATAATATAAAAATTCATGTTATACATTTTGTCATAATAAATATAGTATAAGATAATAAAAAACATTCATTTTCAGCTGTAAGTACAGGGTGCTCTTGTAATACGTTGTGTACATCTTCTATATTCATTGGAATTTTTGGTAGGATTGATCTACGAGCGTTATAAATGTTTTTCCGAACTAAATTTATATCATTAACTGTACATTGAATAGCATCACCAGCACTAAGTTCTGCACAAATAATTTTCGATGGTCTTGTGCTAAGATCCGATAGGCTTTTTCGTTTTGCAGAATTACTTAATTTTTGTCGATTGAGGTGAGTGATGTTGTCTGGAGCAGCGGTCGCCAACCGGTGGTCCGTGGACCACTGATGGTCCGCGGAAAGTACAGTATTTATGTAAAAAAACTATTCTAAGATATAGATGGTCCGTAGAATTCACAATATGATGGTTTCAGTGGTCCGCAAAGTCCAAAAGGGTGGCGACCGCTGGTCTGGAGCATGATAAGGCGTATGTAAGGTAGGATTACTTATTACATTTTGATGAACGTCTACTTTCATATAGCTTTTGTATTTTTTATTCGTACACTTCCATCGAAAATTGTTATTGCTTAACATTTTATGATACCCGAACTTGTAACCATCAATTATTTTAAAACCATTATTCGCGACCAATTTAGAACTACACATTTCTTCCAAAGCTTAAAAATTCGTATTTTATTAAATTAACTTTTTTTTTTTTAATTTGATGAGTGGTAATTGCACAACTATTGGTTACATGTACGTATACAGTGCAATTTATGAACTATCGATTTTAATGATTTTTGAAGATAATATCGATGATAATAATATGGCTGACTTTCGTCCCCCAAAACGGGACGCAACTTACCGGTCAAATTTACTAACTGAAAAATATATTTTTTTTGGGACGCAAGTAACATGCAGCCCAAAATCTACCCTCTTGTATAATTGCTGTATCCAATAATCGTGCACATTATAATTATGTATGCTTGTGTAATTGTGTTAACTTTCAAGTTTTGTTCTACCTAATTATCTCAGTAGGCAATAATAATAGGTAACTTAAAAAGAACCATTTTCAAGCTGTGTGATGGAGTGTATATTTTTTTATAACAATTAATCAATTAATGAAATCGAAATTTTCAGATGTCATTAAATAGCTCAGACAAATTCAAATTTTTTATACACATATATGATTATTTAAAATTTGGTGAATATTTTAAATATCATCTAGTTATACGTTATTGAATTACAGAAAAATAACTTTATATATATTGCGTAAATATTAATTATGGTTTAAGTACAGGCTAAGTATGTTTTTTTTTATTAATCATTTTATATTAGAATAATACTGTTTCTGACCAATAAAATGATATGTTTTGTTTGAGGAGCCATACTACAGTCCGCGCGGCCGTACTCCTTGAATCCGATCTGTAACCGGTTAATTTATGATCGTTGAGAATTATAAGACTAAACCAGGGCTTCTCAATGGTGGAAGGGGGAGCTCGTTTTAGGCGATAAAGACCCAGGGGGCAATTTCAGCCAGTTTCTAGTTCTGTCGAATCCACACAAGAACAGTAAAATATTGTTTTATAACTAACAAATTTTCTGTCAATAACTTCAGTCTTTGGATAAGGAATTTTCACCACGTTTTGAAGATATTTTGTCCCTGAGAGTTTCTTAATGGGTCATAAATCCTTTTTAAATATTCATTCAGCAAAAATACAGTGTCAAAAAGAATTGATCAAAATTTCACTAACAAGATGTCAAAAGTATGTTTAACAAGCCTAACACCTCACAGAATTTTGGTTCCAGTCTACTATCAGTCGAATTTATCCTGGACTGTAGTACAAACATTATTAATTGCTTTCCCTTCCTCTTAACTCGTTGAGTGAGGATTTAGTGCGGTGACGAATCTATAATAACGAAAAAATAAATCGACTCGACATTGTCAAAAGAGGAGACTTAAGCTTTCATTTCACAAACTTTGAACCAAACGTAAAAAAAATAGCTTTGAATCACCAAGTACGACCATCTAACTGATCAATACATTTTAATTATCTCTTCTTAAACTACATCTAAACATACATATATTTACATTTTATTTTCATTATATTTACAATTTACATGTATATGTATATTGTATATTATTATTTATTGTTTAATTATAAACATTTCATGTATACTATTTTTATTTGTATTTTAATGAAGGAGGGGGGGGGGTTGAAAAATATTTTGCTTCTAAAGAGGGTGGAAGTTTGAAAAAGTTTGAGAAACACTGGTCTAAACAGTAAGGTAGCGATATTTGTAATAATTGATTTATGGTATTTTGGTGACTCAAGTGTCGATGGTTAATCATCAAAATGTACACGGTAATGGGTAGGAATTTAAAATTTCATTTAAATATTTATTAATAATTTTAACTATTTATTGACAATAAACGTATACTTATTTTAAAATACAAAGAAAAGTACCAGTTATGTATTTGCATGAATTATTATTTAAAACGACGTATTCGCATGTGTTGTCTCCATTTTATACACACATAATACAACAAATTTTCATTCATTAATTGTTCAATAGTGTGGTATTAGTTTTGATATTAGAGTGAATTGATGTATCATTAAATTTTAAGGTAAGAATAACATTACCTATAAATTATATTTTAATTTTTAAGTAAATATTTTCAAATATTAATATTTTAGTATTTTACATACTCATGACTTTAGTTATAATTTAAGAAATTACTTCAAAATTAAAAATACTAATTTTAATATTTAAAACACTTTATATGAGTATATGTCACTTGTCAAACACATAATGGAAGAATGCTCACAATGTTCTAGAACTCTCCTAACCTCAACAGCGCTGGGCAAAAGTCAAACTCCAAAAATAATAGCATTTTTAAGTACCACTAATATCATTAAAACATTTTAACTTTAAAACTTGTATATAAATTATGTAACATCTAATCTTAAGAAAAATACCATGTAAAAATTAATGTCAAGCTAATAACCTAAGTTTTTGAAGCCATATTTTTTAAAATAAAATTAAAAAATTAATAAAACCAAGTAAGAAGAGAAATGTACGTTTTATTTATTGTGTGTAAATGATTACAAAATAGACTAACGAAACATAAAGCATAAGACGTTAGAACACTCCTTACTAATGCATTTATGGCTGGCATTTTAAAAATTTTTACAATTTATTAATAAAATTTGAGAAGTTGTGTATGTAGTATAATATGTAATACATCTTATTAAGCATGTTTTATATTCACTACCAACTAATTAGGTACTATTACTATTTTTTCAACATTTATTGGTAACTATAAATTGGTATAATAACTATATAAGGTACGTTAAATATCAGAAAAAAGGCTGTTAAGGTTGTGCTTCAAGATGTATTATAATAATTAGTATTTATTCAAATTAAATGAGGGTGCAAGACTTTTTTGTTTAATACTTACAATTATAGTTAATTTTAATGGATTTCTGTTAGAACATGAATATTTTAAACAACTTTGACTCACTCTTTTGATATGATTTATAATGTTAGGTATGAGGTTAACTATGATTTTATAAGCATTAGAAACTCAAAATAAATTCAAAACTCATTAGAATAAGGTTTTTATCAATGCAAAAATGAAAAACCTATAATAGTTACAAATGAAATACTTAACAAAAATAAACAGAACTGTCAAAGATAGACGATAACAGTTTTTGTTTTATTATTATTCCTAGGATGCACTAGGGTGGAAAATATATTCTTGAATTTCTAAAGCTAAATAATTGAAATACTTGCTCATGTTGTAACAGATTTGAAACTATCGTTCCTTTGAATTAGGTAAGAATTTAAATTACTCTGAAATTTTATTTGATAACTGGTTATAACAAGTGATAATAAACATTTCTAAAATTCTGATTAATCAATATTCATTTATTATGTCACACACTTAAAGACATTTAGAATCCTTGGACATCCTGTATGATGTATGATGTATTTAACAGTTTTGTGATAAGAAAATATTAAAATACAATTTATTCACATATTAGGCACTGGTAATAAAGGGGATTGATATTTAAATACAAGCTGAAGCTCAAGTCAACCTATACATATCAGTTGGAATACAAATATATAATATTATATATATTTCATTTAAACATTTATATTAAATTAATTTGGATTTATTTTTTTGTATCTTTAGTTTGTTTTTATGGTAAATTACTTTGGCAGATGACATAGTTTCAGATTCTGATTTTGAAGCTTCGAGAAGATTTGAACAGGTATGGGGTTCTTGCACCACTGAAGTGTCCTTAGGTTTTACTAAAATAATTTAGTTAATTAATAAATGTACATAGTTATGTAAATATAATATGAACCTGTTTGTAGCTTCTCCAATTCAATTATTTTCTTTTTAAGTCCCAAGATTTCTTGTCTTGTTTTAAACATAGTAATAGCATTATTTTCTTCTTGAACCAGTTGGAATAACATATTAACTTTTGTTTGATAATATTTTTTCAATTCCATGAATTTCTTTTCGATTGATAAATGAAATTCTTGATAATCGTTATTTAAAGACACAATAGTATGCCTTTGTCTATCATTTATTGACTAAAATATTATTAAATTTATAATTATTAAAAAGAAAAACTTGCAACATTGAATAAGAAAAAAAATAAAAATATTTGTTGATAAATAAACTCACATCAAGCTTAGATATGATTTCATCATTTTCTCGTCCAGATTCTTTTAAATCCACAACTTTGATAAAATAATGTACCAACAACTTCTTTAGTTCATCTATACTTAAAGTTGACAGGCACTTCCAGAAAACTGTTGTTTCATTTGAATTCTGTAAACAAATAATTCCATGCATATAACATAGTTTTTTTTTTTTGTAATATCTAGATACTATATTATGCTAATGCAGAAATGCATTAGTGTTATTATTACCATTTGAATGAAATGTAATAAATTTGAATCATTATTGCACATATTATTTTTTAATTCAATTAAATAATCTATGGAATCAATTGCTTCATCGTTTTCTAAATATTTTCGAATATCTTCTTTTGTTAAATTATTTTCCTTGAAAACAAAATTATAAACAGAATTACAATCATTTATGCTTATAAATAAGCATGTATGTTATAAAAAGAGGATGCTACACTCGCATTTGTTGTCTCCATTTTACAAAGAAACAACATAACAATAACTGTTTTGCACGGGATAACTTTACTCTCTGTTTATTTATAGTGAAATCGCCAAAATCTCACAATGTGTAGGGAAGAACTCTAGTCTTTATTTTTTTTTAATGTAGCAATGATGAAACTATTTTTCATGTTCATAAAATAAATAAACTTAATATCTTATTAAATAAAAACCCTTGTAAAAACCTTTTGATATTTGGGATTGAACATTCCTCTAGGACGTGAACTTAAAATTTCATTTCTCATATTTTGTAAATCCAAAAATTCTTTTTTTAGATTATCATTTCTAATTAAATTTGATGATGTATGGACTCTACTTTTTTCAACACTCGATAAAACCTGAAATTGCATATAAAATATATAACAAATTGTTTTTAGTTAATTACATTAACATAAAATTAACATTCTTTACTTACACCCAAATTAGATAAATCAGTTTTCAATTGATTAATTCGCTTTTCATGTTGTATTAGTAGTAATGAAACTTCTTGTTTACTTTTTATTTGGTTATTTAATTGGTCATAAAACATTTTTAAGCGATCATTAGAAGTTTTTAAAGCAATTTGATATTGTAGTAATCTAAAATAAAATATTATTAGTATTTATTAAAACAAATTTACAATTTATATGTAAATACTTCTCAGTACTATCACTGGCAATTTTTATAATATCATCCATTTTTTTAATTTTGTCTTCATATCGTAATAGCCTATTATTGGTTTGCTCCCCATAATCATTCTCTTTACTAGTTCCATCACCATAACTTGTTTTTGACATTTTATTTGACTTGTTTAACTGACTTAAAATTTTTTTATATTTTTTGTTTTAAAACTTTAATTTCATTTTATTTAATATTTTTTTATATTTTTTGTTTATTCTATTGTATTCTTTTTGAACTTTTTCTTTTGCATTACATCTAATTTCTGCATAGCTGGCAGTTTCACTAATGAAATTTTTCTAAAACAATTTTAATTTCAATGATTTATACAATATGTACTTAAAAAAATAATAGTTAAAAATATGATAAAAATAATGACATGATTACCTTAATTGATATAATGTCTTCTAAGTGTTTAATATTTATTTTTAAACCATCCTCATTAATAGAAATTATACTCAATTCTTTTCTTTTTAAATTTACTTCTGCTGTTAAAGTTTTTAATTCTTCTCGCAGTTTTGTAACATTATCTAAACTATTGTTACTATTAACACAATCTAGTAAAATATGTTGACTTGGATTAAATTCAGAATCTAAAAAGTGTATTAAAACAATTCAAGTTATAATAATAAATAATCTTTTGATAAGCAATGAAGATTATGTATATTTTTAAAAACATTGGCATGGAGAGTGTTGACATATTGTAGGTAAAATAATGTGTTCGACAATAGTATTGTTTGATAGGATTATAAATAGTTTTACTTAGAAATCATTGTAATTATTATGAACATCTATTTAGGATGTATTTATACGCTATTTCTAAAAAGTAAAAATGAGACATACCTAAATATACATCATAACTCTAAATTTTCTATTTTTAATCCTCTCTTTGAGTTTTTATATTTAATTGTAAATTATAATGTTGAATATCCATATTAAATCATTAATATTATACATGCGCATAKATAGATAGGGCCATTGAGAAATATCCAATGAGCTAAGTATTAATGAGTTAACGGGGCTGCTACTACACTACATACTAATGATTAGTTGTAGACTATTTTTTCTAATAGGTTTATCAAATTACTTTTTCATAGTGAGCATTGCAAAAAAAAAATAGGTAACTATAGTCAATATTATAAATTACAAATATGTTTTGTTTGCACCACAAAAACTGAATATTAAGTAATAACTATTGTTATTTATATGCATGTAATCTTGTAATCTTGCACACAAATACAATCATCATAATTATGTAACATGCTAATAAAATATAATAATTATTTATTTATTTTACGATTAGGGTTGGCATTTAAATTTATTTGAGAAAAATGTAATTAAGTAATACATTTTTAAAATTGTTAAATATCAAGAGATATACATACTACATACTCACGTGTTATCTCTGTCTTACATAATGCAAAACACAGGAAAAACTGGTTATTGTGGGTAATAATACMCAGACTATAGTCCAAGCTAAGCAACTAAATTTTTACAGTTTTTTAGTTCTGACATCAAAAACATTATAAACAACATTGCACGGTAAATTATTTTTTCTTTATAGTGTGAAAATTTAGTTGCTTAGCTTTGACTACAGTCTGAAAAAGTATTACCCACCAAAAACAGTTCTTGTTGTTTTGCATTTGTAAGAGGAAGACTACATATATTGGTGAAGAGTACCTCGACTGTAGCTCCTCTTCAATAATTAAACAAATATTATAATAGTAGTTTGGTTAGAGAGGACTTATATTTTAATATTATAATTACTGACTAATTTAATCAGTAAAATAAAATAAAATCGTGGCATATCATTATGCAATCTATTTCGTCTATAGTGTTTTCCACACAAGTAGCTTAATATTTATTTAACCAAACCTGTCTGAAATCTCAATCCATTCTTGCACATGTATAATTAATAATTGCTTTTGTTATTCTATATATTATGACAGAAAAATAAAATGGTATAAAATTGCTAATACTTAATAATTTCAACATGAGCATGATATATTATTATTATATATATAATTTTTATTCAATCCAAAAAACTATAGTAAATTAGTATACATTTAAACAATATAATATGTAATAAAAGTATAGATACACTAATTTAACATTGAATGAAAAGGTAACATAATCAATAATGTGTCTTTATTTTTGTTATTTTATTTTATTTTATAAATTAGGTAAGTGTCTTGAGGTATAAGAAAAAAATACTAGAGATTTTTCTTTAATTTAATAGGTTACTTAACTAATAAATTAATGCCATTGAGTCAAAACATTCTGAATAATACTCAMSGTCGACATTATGATTGAGTTCATCAGGTAACTGATTGATACTTGTTCTGATGACATAGTCAAATCGAAAATTGACGTACTTGTTGTAAGTGTTAAACACGCTTATTAACTTTTGATCGAATTTAATTTCATTTATTACACTATCGATGTCTACACCCATTTTTTTCACTCGACTAAATGGATTGCGAATTGGTAACGGTCTTAGGTTTTTTGTGAGTAATTCTGAGGTTGAATTCATTACGAATAATTCCTTCAAATTCACTATAAATTGATACGTAATAAAAATTGTAATAGAAGTAGTAGTATTAATAATAACAATAGTAACACAGATATAAAGTAAGAATTTATAAAACTATAAAATCATAAATACAAATAATAATAATTAATAATGTGTAGGAAACTAGGAAATTAGTAAATATCGTACATTACGATCATAAACGCTTATCACGGTCCGTTATCGCTAGCATCCCTCAGAAACGTCCGTTATTCCGTATTCGCGACGGCGACGGTTCCTCCTTCCGGTTACGATTGGCGGCACCGCGCCCGAGCGCAAATAAAATATTACGCACAATATAAATTCTATAGATACAGTAATATCAAATGACACAATCATAACGAATCGCTGTTGGGGCGTTGGGCCGAATATTGTCCGTCAGCAACTTTGAGAAAATCTGTAATATGCATTTACGCATAACCGTAATCGTATTTTTTCTAACAATCGAGCACTTATAATACAACATAACATGGGCGTCCCCAGGGGGGGGGGCAAGACGGGGCACTTGCCCCCCCACCCCTGGAAAAATGTTATTTCCACAGCAATTGGTAAAATTCTGGTACCTATATAATAATGTTTTTAATGTTTTAATTGTAATAATAATACCTAACTAATTGTAATGTTTTAATTCATAATTGTAATAATGATGAAACACAATAATTTACTATAAATAAAATGTATAAAAAAATGTTCATTTATTTTTAAAATTAATTCCCCCCGCCCTCAGAAAAATGTCTGGGGACGCCCATGCAACATATTTATAGGTGTCTGCGGTCTGTTGTCTACCGCCTGTAGGTCGGGGTCTCGGGGATCACCCATGCAGGACACGTGCTGACTGTCTATACCAGGGGTGGCCAAACCTACACAGGCAGCGGATGAACCAAAAGTCGGTCATACACTGGCAACAGTCATGATCGACATCTTCCAATGAAATCAAAAATGTTTGAAATTCATCAATCAGCGTGTCAATCTTTATCGGTTCAAATTATTATAAATACGTCGCTGATGCCTGATAGTCATTCTTTGAATGATAGTGTATGTCTAGCTTAATTAGAATTGTTACGAATAATGAAAGACTGAGATAAGTAAAATAACAATGCTCAAATCTTTCCTCGATCATTAATTTAAAAAAGCGGGTAAGTGGGTATTGCTCTGCTGTACATTAGGGGGTGGAGGGGATCTCTGACTAGGGTAGGTTAAATTTGAATACAATGATAGGTATCATTGTATTCGAAAAACGATTCTGAACGGAGATGGTTTATCTGTCTAGGGTATATTATAGATTATTAAAAATTTTCAAATCTTAGATTTAAAAAGAACATTTTTTATGAATTTCTAGCTTAAAATAATTTGCAAATTTTCTTGATTTTTACGTATGTTGTCAAAATTAAAATTCGAATGCATGTAAAAAAAAATTGTGGCTATATATTTATTTTATTTTTCAACTGCTACTGTAAAAATATATTATGACCTTGTATTAAATTCTCAAATCTTAGAATTAAAAAGAAAAACTTTTTATGAATTTCTATCTAAGATAATTTGAACAATGCCGTAATTGTTATGTATTTAGTCAAAATTTGAACTGTAAATGCTTATTAAAAAAAATTGTGACTATATATTTCTTTTATTTTTCAACTGCTATTGTAAAAATATGTTAGGAGCCTTGTATTAAATTTTCAAATCTTAGATATAAAAGGAAAATGTTTTATGAATTTCTAGTTAAAAACAATTTGCGAATTTTCGTGATTTTTACGTATTTTGTCAAAATTCAAACTTTGAATGCTTTTAAAAAAAAATTGTGCAAAATATATATATATATGTCTTTTATTTTTCAACTGCTATTGTTAAATCGTTAAATCGAGGATAAATCGTTATCGTTACGCTTTTTCGTAAAAATTTAAAATTCAAACGCACTTAAAATTCTTCCTATAATGATTGCTTCGAGTTTTCTCTATAGCTACTTGAAGGAAAACTTACGGTAAACTTAGTGTTATATTTTTAATCCTTAGTTATAAACACAAAAAATTTTATGATTTTTCAACTTCAAAATTACTTGCAAAKTTTCGCGTTTTCGACAGATTTCGTAAAAATTTGAACTATAAAAGCTTATAAAAAAAATTGTGATTAACAATTTTTAATTTTTGTTCGCTACAATAAAAACAACTCATAAAGAACCTTGTATTAAATTTTCGAGTTTTTTTGGTGACCCAAAATTTTTTTACCGATACTTAAAAAAAGTTTCTCAAAAAAATCGAAAATTTCAGTGGTCTATAAAGAACTCAAAAAAATTAAATTGTATATAGATAACACTAACATAAACATTTGGTGAAAATTTCAAGTATTTACAGTGATTAGTTTTTGAATTACAA